GCAATGACGAGGCCCTCCGGGCCTAAAATATAAAATTTATTTATTTATTAATGATTGATAGACACGAGAAGGCATAGTTGAATCAATTATCGGGCTCCTCGGGTGCTGGAGTCCATGACCGCCTTGATGTAAGTGACCAAGGTACATAAGTATTGCGTAGAACCTCATCTCAACTTCTAAAAGTAGGCAGCTAGCCACTCAAGCGGAAGGCTTACAGATACCGGAACCCTGAACATTGCCCAGTACTGGGGACATCAGGTACCAATGCTGATAAAAATATAAACGTACCTGAATGGAACCGCGGAAATTAACAGCAAGGTTAATAAATTTAAGCAATAAAGTTATTAGAAATGGCAGTAGAATACCAGCAACTACGCAGGCGGGAAATTTGTATTGAAAGGAATGCGGAACTATGCCAATTACTGCGTCCGGTAGGTGGCGCGTGTGGAGATTGTGCAGGCCAAACTAAACAAAAGCCAATAGTTAGGAGGTGAGGTAAGGCAATTTGGCGAAGAAGGTTATTGCATTTTCTAGAAGCCAGCCGGCATCCTGCAAAGTTGCCGGAAAACGCAAGGAAAAGCAAAGTTAAGAAGAAAATTAGAGTAATGCTCGAACAAGTGCGACTAAAAGCAGAAGAAAGACAGGAAGACAAAGAAGACAATTTAACTGTAAGACGGCAAGCAAAATAAAGTTTCCAAATACTTCTAAAGCTCCTTTTGGTTGTTGTTTTGTAAGCTTCATATATGAGTGAAGGCGGCAGTGGAAATTTGATAGTGGGGCAGGGAGTCATATCGGAAGGGAATCCTGGTGAGCCACTCGGATCAATGCACATGAATCAGCCGAAGGTTAGAATTGCGGAAAGCAGTGCAGTCTTGGTGTCGAACCATAGTGTTGTGTACAAACTGCGGAAGGCGACGAAATAAAGGAAAAATACGGAACATCGAGAAGGGTTAGTGTGGTCGGTTATAACAGGAAGGCCGGAGTCTCATGTAGGGGTTGGTTAAGAAGCCAATACCACCGGAGACAAAGACAAAGGTCTTTTCTAGACTATGGAATGTAGACCAACAGGTGTGAAAGCGAATGGTGTGACCGAGTCGCCGAGGGAAATGTGAATGAGACGCTGTAGGCATTGAATAAAAGATTAATTGCATGACATCGGCAAAACCTAAGTGTGGTCACTTAAAATGTGATCAAAGTACGGTAAACTTAGTCTGGAATACGGCTCGATACCATATAATCCAAAAACTATGACAGAGAAAGAAAATTATAGAAAACTGCAAAAAAATAACCTTTTTTCAGCATACGAATAATAAAACCCTCTCCAGTACACATTGTCGAAGAAGAAAAACATCATCTCGGGAAAATGCAGAGCGATCTAAAATTGACGTTTTTCAGTAATGCCTCCGTTCTACATGACCCCATGGTTTTCACCCGTCTAGGCCACTCGCTTCCGAAGTCGTCCTCGAATATTCCATTTTGT